AATTACTTATCTGTACAGGGTCAGTCATTCTAACCGTAGCTAAATTATTATGTTCTGATAGAGAATCTCATTACTCTTGATATACTAGTTTGACTAATGCTTGTCTCTGAGTGAGTTTGTAGATTTAAATACCACCCTAACTCATGCCTTATTGAGAATCCTGAGAAGGTTCTCAGATGTCGCCTCTTTATATGGTAAAACTGTGCGTCAGTGGCACAGTGAATAGGACTCTTGCCGACCATGCACATGGTCCGGGGTTCGAGCCCACGCCGACGCACACCTGATATCTATGGTCGGCCTGCGAAATTTCGGCTACCAATATCCACGCTGAAAATTTCATACTTGTACCGAAAATACAGTGTGGAATCAACCTGTAATCAAAAATAAATAAAATTAATATTATTTCTTTTAATTCCTTGAGGAAAATATGGCTTCAGCAGCGCGTCTCCATTGCGTTCGGTTGTCTGCCAACTTTTTCACTCCGCTACAAGTCTGCCCACATGCTTTCATTTCCTCTTCACATGACTCCCTCCAAGTCACCATCGCACTGACGACCAACTCACCGCTTCCCTTTCGGGTTCCACTCGAGCAATGGCTTGTCTAGTGATGTCACTTGATGGTTTCCTCAGAGCATGGCCAGCCAATCCATCTCCATTTCTTCCTGCCTATTTGTTTCACAATCGGTTCCTCGTGGGTTCGCTCCCAAGGATCCCTCTCTGTTGCTGATCTTTTCTGACCATCTGATCGTGAGTATTGGGCGAAGACAGATGTCAATCAACGTCTGTAGTTTGTTTGAGGTTCCTTTTTATGACGCGCCAAGTCTCTGATCCGTATAGTCAGTAGCCATGACTTCACATTGCAGTTCAAAATCCGGATCTTATTTTCATTTTCATGCTGAGTGCTGTTGACCTCCACAAAGATTTGAGAGTAGTCAAAGCTTGTCTTGCTTTTCTGATTCTGGCTTTGATATCCTCGTCAGTTCGGTCCGCCTGTAGTTGAAACGATGCTTCTCAGTTAGGTAGGTAGGCAAATGAGGTTGTTTCTTTCAGGTTCCTCCCATTTATGCTGATTGTTGTCTATTTTTTTGTTGCTATTGCTGTTGGCCAGGAATCTTCATCACCTACCTCTGTTTACTCTATGTTCACCTGAAGTCCTATCTTCTCTGGATGCTTCTTCTTCCAACTTGTTGCTGCTATTCACTTGCATACCTTCCAGTTTGTGGGAAATCAGACAGATATCATCGGCGAAGTCCAAATCCAGATGGTAAAACTGTAAATGCCATACATTCTTTCTTATTTATCTTATCATTATTAGTCTTGCCATTATTCTTATTTTGCTTTTGACCTTTTTTGATATTCCTAATGAATTTTAAAGGATAGTTATTTGGTATCAAAGCTTCTTCTGTCTGTTTTATTTCATCGTTTAGGTTTATTGTTGTACTACTTAAGGCTATTACTCGGTTTGTTAGACACTTAACTTATTGATATGTGAAAAGATTGATTAGTAAAATAAAGAATATTCTTTTCGATAACTTTTTCTTCTTCTTAAGGTTCTATAGTTCTGAGTCGGTAATAATCAAAGAATTATTGTTATTAACAGTATTAAATGTGTTGAATAACACTGAATTAATGATATCAATAAAGGACAGTTGAAAACAAAATGTAGGTAGTACTGTGCATCAATATAACACCAAAATGAATATCAAATAAAAATAACGAATCATAATAAAGAATTTATGAATTCCAATGGTTCTCTAACTAATGTCAGCTCATGATGAAATACTGAAACCAATCAAATCCCTACAAACCAACACTTGAATACCAATGAGATGCTCACTGGCGACTGGCCCTATTCAGGTAGGTAGTCACCTGGGTTCCAGTGGGAAGTCGTGACCAGTAGAGTGCAGCTGGCCGGGTGTGAGGACAAATACTCGCTGAAGACATTGGCTAGTGGTTGCGCTATGTCGTGAATTGGCAGAAGTTAGAATTCAAGGACCATTGGATCGGGTCCAGTGGCTTAATGGTATACGAGCTCGCTGGCCTTGTAACCGGAAGGTCCTAGGTTCGAATCCCGGTGGGTGCGTACTGCTGAAGAGTCCCAAACCAGGACGAAACAACTGTCCAGTACTCCCAGCTGGTTTTCCAATGGTTCTCTAACTAATGTCAGCTCATGATGAAATCCTGAAACCAATCAAATCCCTACAAACCAACACTTGAATATGAATTTATAAGTTCAACAGAATTCCAGAGTGACACTAGTGGCTGAGTCTATTTCATTTGGCATACACAAAGCTCTGGTTGTGTTTTAGGCGAATTTCTTTGGACTTAGCTATTTGAGTGCTCAGTATCTAGTGGACCTTCAATGCTAACTTTGTGACCTGCTCGAAGAAGTGGTTTAACATCGAACTGTTGATGGTTTTTAATACACATTTATTTGGTAGCATTTACAGGTAATTCCGAGCACCAAAAACTAAGTTTATAGAGCAATGGCCATTATAAATGGCTTTAAAAAAGCAGCTGAGTTGATCGGTTATTGATATCTACATTTTTTGGATAGCTTGACAATAAGTTATTTGAATAATGGTAGCAACTCACCTGCTGGACCTACTTGCGATTCCCAGTGTGTGATGATGGTTTCACTATGACTAGAATTCAAGAACTTAGCATTTCAAAGTCCAAAATGAAATCCACTTCAACTGATAAGACTTTTTTTCAGTTTCACGAAATTAAGTTGTTTATTATGACCTCTTTTCTCGACATTTATACCAAATTTTAAAGGATATGAGTTAGCAGGATTAGACGTATGAAATAACTCAAATATTTGGAGTTCTGTTCCCATTATTCTCCAGTAATTTTGCAAAGACATAATTGTTTTAAGACTTGAACACTGAATTCATGATTTATTCAATGTAAACATTACACTTTTATAGTCTTATTTTGAGGTTATGCTTAAAAAAGTCAGTTGACAAAGTAATTAAATTCCAAATGACATTCGTTCTAACGCCTCTGAGATTAGTGCGTCGGTAGCACTGTGGATAGGACGCTCGCTGACCATGCACATGGTCTGGGGTTCGATCCCCGGCCGAGGCACACGTGATGTCAGTTGGTTGGCCTGCTAAATTTGGGCTACCGATATCCCATGCTCAAAATTCCGTACTTGTATCAAAATACTGTGTGAAGTCAAGCTATAATAATAAAATTTTAAAAAATTAAATAAAAAACCTAAGTGATAAGATCTAGAAGGTGAAAGTGCCCAATGCTGAGTGTGTGTTTACCAGTTTACCTGCTTCTGCTGAACTAGACATATCAATCGTTAAATGCAGATGTTATCTAAAATGGGGATAACAACACGACTAAGCACTGTTGCGAAGTGTTGGAAGTGAAGCTGTAAGATGCTCATCAAATGTTCATCCTGTCTCAACAGCCTCTTCCTCTGGAGTTATCTAATAGGGCAAAAAAGTAAAAAAAAAAGGATTAGATATTCTCTGAGGAGACTATCAAGTGACGTCACGCGACAGGCTTTCAAGTAGAACCCCGACTAGGAAGCGGCGAGTTGTGTGCCTAGGAATAACATGGAGTAGAATAAGTAAAGAGAAGATGAGAGCTTGTGGGTAACAGTGGGGCAAACTAACAAAGACTGAGGAGGACTGAAGAAATGGAGATGTGTTGCTGAAGTCCTGTGTTCCTGTTGACACCCAAGGGAATAATAATAAATATTTTTATATTTACCAATTGGGCAAATATATTTATCTATCGTAAGCCTAAACATTGGATAGTGTAGAGTTCTGTGTCACAAAACACGGTTAAAGTCACATGAAATTTAGAAATACGATATTAGAATCAAGATGAAAGGTGTGAACTCATCTGTTCTCTAAATCCCATTACAAACCATTTAAGCCCTAATCACGAGCTACTTTGGTCAAAATGACGCCAGCCCAGTAATTCCTCATTTTCTTACATGGTTCAACCCACTAATCAGTTACTTTGTCGGTAGTTGATGCTATGTCACGGTTTCGTCACATTCTGCTTTCATCTAACTTATCCGTACTTCAGTTGAAACAGTGTATTCAGATGGGCAGTGTGAGTAGATATCTGCGGCAAATTTTTCAACCGCTTTAGATGGTGGGAGGTTTTAACTTTTCCGGATTACTCATCTAATTTACCTCTATACTGCTAACAGACTGGCTGTAATATGATGGAAACAGTCTCACTAACTGCATTCCATGTTTTAAAAATATTTTCTTATTTTGATACTTTTGCAATGAAACCATATTTCTGAACAAATGTTTTCTTATGCCACAGAAACTTACTGTCTGTCTGTCTGTCTGGATTCAACATAGAACTTGGCACCGAAGTGCAGCAGTTCAACTTGCCACCTTCCAAATAGCACACAGAGGTAGACAAGAAGATGAGTGAAGAAAATCAATACAGTCTGACAAGTATAAGAGTGAAACAGAATGGGTAATGGTAGAAAGGAATATGAAAGATTACAGAGACTGAATACATCTGCGCTGGCCATTGACAACGATCACTTTGAGCCATGTCACCTATTGTCTCCAGCCATTGATTCCTAGAGTCCCGAGGACCCCAACCCGGGAGTCTGCATCTCCCTACCTGACAGTTTAACTGTCAAGGATTTCATGGATTGATGCCATGTTTTTGTTTGGCCACCACTGGCTCTTTTCCAACCTGAACCTATATCAGCTAGCAATGCCCGTCGGGGGAGGCGGTGGTTAGGCATGCGCAGCACGTGACCTAGCCATCTTAGTCTATGTAACTTTATAGCATCATCGATTGATTTTCCCTCTTTGCCCAACACTCTACGCCTAACGTCAACATTACTTATCTTGTGAAACCACCTAAACTTACTACTTAAATAAGATGAATTCACATTATTTCAACAACGCATACACATAGATTCCAACGTCGTTAACTTCAAGTATCTTTAGAGAAAGCTACTGATATTCCCTCTTGTATTTATTCTCTTTCCATAATGCATAGGTTATCGTCTACTGAATATCCCTTGTGGTGTTTGTGGGGATCGTTCTACGGGGAAACATTATGGAGTATACAGCTGTGATGGTAAGTAATGGCAATAAATATCAGCTGCGTGAGTCAAACTAGAATATTATGGCATTCATGATTTTGAGTCTTAATTTCTGATACAAAATAGCAAGAGCAACACTGGTGGTTTGTGCAGAATAATATGGTACCATCATTTATTCCGTTGGCTTCTCATCAGCTCAGTTGCTTACAGCCTAAATAAATTATGAGGTTTGAGTACAGAAAAGTTTTAACATACTTGTAAATTTTACATGTTGTCAGTTGACAGAAAGTTCTACAATTAGTGAACAGTGCTCAGAAAATCGCACTTATATGCTTTTTACACAGGTAGTTCAATTTTAAACACAATAAATGTGTGCATAAAACGATAAAGGAGTTATGTAATAAAGGTGAAATATGCGTTAGATACAGAGTGACTAATAAATTAGGTAACAATGTACTGAGTTCAACTCAAATCATAGAAACAAGAGACAAGCAAAAATACAGATTATAAAAGGAGGGTGAGGTTAAAGACAAAGATTACGTGATCAGATGAGAGAAAAAAGACACTCAGTTACCAGGGCAATGAAAGACTGATAACTGCTTCTTTCTGAACACATAAATCTGGTTTCAAGAGTTTGATAGAAATTGCTTCGGCAAACTTGAGGAGAATGGAGCTCCATTGTCTATTGATAATTTTAAATGATTTCTCGATTCCACGTCATGACCCTTGTCGAGGAGATGTCTGGTAATCGCGCTACTATAAGAGTTTGTTCCCTTGAGACGTAGGCTTTTTGGCACATGTTCAGAAAATTGGAGGTGTGCCCTTCTTTCTGTTCTGCCAATGTAACTGCTCACGCAGATACATCTAAATTTGTATACACAGTTGGTGTTAACATGAGAAGGGTATCTGTCGACTTTTGACTGCACCGAAAAACATGTTGTTCTATGGACAGGAACCAACTTAGCTGCAGGATAGGCTCTGGCTAGTCACGTTCTCAGTCTTCTGTTGACCGTTTCTGCAATGTTTTCACCTTTAAAATCTAATTGAATGAAGACAGGCTTTTTTTCAACTGTGATTTGTTTAGTATTTGAGCCTTCACATCTTCCATATTTGTCAATGAATCTTTGAGGATAACCGTTGTTTTTCAGCACCTTTTCGAGAATCGTAAATTCTTCATCTAGTTTCTCTACAGAGCACATTCTCATCGCTCTATGGTACAAAGACTTGACTAATGCTCGTTTATAGCTATTTAGACAAACACTATTAAAATGTAAGTATTGTCCATTCCATGTAGGCTTTCGGTAAATTGACCTCTGGGGATCACCATCTTCTAGGCGTTGCATGGCCGTGTCAAGGAAATGGAACTTTCCATCATTTTCATGTTCCATAGTGAATACAGTATTTGCCTGTGCGTTGTTGAATAGTCTGAGTAGGTAGAAGGCATGACTTTCGTTGTTGCATACTACAAATGTGTCATCAACATATCGACAATAGGAGGTTGTCTGATCGATTGCATGCTACAACTTTGTTTTCTCAAGATTTGACATGATGTATAGAGATGACTACATCGCAAGAATGAAAACTGTGCTAAATGACCCGTTGAGGTTTAAAGTCGACGACTGTCAGAAAGACAAGAGAGATGCAACTGAAAAACGCATCACAAACGTACTAAGAGGTTTTCTAAAGAAGAATTTGACTGACAACAACACGTACAATGAATTGAAACCCCGAGGGTCCCGCTTGCCATATATATATGGCCTTCCAAAGATATGTAAGAAAGAAATCCCTCTAAGACCTATACTTTCGATGATCAACTCTCCCCAACATAAGGTTGCCCGTTGGCTTGCGAATAAGTTGGAACCCATTCGCTGACGGCTAGCCATGCATACCATAAAAGACACATTTAATTTCGCGCAAAGCATAAATCAGATGAACGTTTCAAATAAGTTCATGGCTTCATTTGAGGCAACCTCCTTGTTCACAATGATCCATAAAAAATAACAGTTTATTTAAGTACACAAAAGACACTTAGTTTTGATTTTTGTTCGTATCACTAACTGGACTTGGTCAGAGAGAAGCGTGAACACTCACATACCATTGAGAAATCAAATTCTCTCATTTTAGGGCTTTTTGTATTTTCGCTATACTTTGAATTTGCTGTAGAGATTGAACTGATTTTCTAGGATAGGACCACTAGCACCACGCCCAACCTTCCCTATTTTCCGTAACCTAGGACTGACTAGAAAATTGATGAACTAGTAGACTAGGCGACGTTACCCACAGCCATGAGATTAAGAGTCTCATGCTTTCTGTTGAATGAGCTGACCAGGTTGGTTGGTGGTCTTATTGTCACTGGTCTGATCCTACCTACTGCTAATCAAATATGCCGAAGAAAATAAAAGTGGATCTAGCAAAGGCTGAGGAGATCGTTGGATAACATGGTTGACGGTTTTGCCTTCGAATGGAACCCGAATAGGGGATGACAAGTTGGACGTCCTAGGGTAACATAGTGGAGACCATATGACGATCAGCTAAAGAAGACTGCAGAAAACAGGAAAAAGTTAGGATATGCTATTAAGGCCGTTTGTCGCACTATTAATCAGAGGGAATAATAATTTGATAAGTTTTAACTCACGACGACTAGTCGCAGCCCAAAGTTAGACTCGGTGAATAGTTATGAGTTTTTAAAGAATGCACTTAACGACTTGGCTGATGAAAAATCACTTAACCTTGAGTGTGAAGATCCTAGGTGGTGTAGTCGTCAACTGCAATGTGATGAATTAATTATTTCACTTCACTTTTCAAAGGTTTTGCCAGTTTACTTTAATTTTTGATCAAATCAATCTTGCACCCAGTCACTTTGCAACGGTGATTTAATGTTGGGAATGCTGGCCAGCCATACAAATGGTCTGGATTCTATTTCCTGCTGATGGACTCCAGCCGCTGAAAATATCCCTGGTCATAGTATGCAGGCTTGTCTAACTCCTGTATTCACTTCAAAGGCTTTGCTGACTTTTCCGTTGGGAATTACTTGACAAATATCATTGTTACATGGCTGTTGGATCAGACTTATAAAGGTTTGGGCACTTCATAGTGTTAAAGCAATCTCCAAATTAATTCATGGTCGACGCTATTGTGGACTTTTGAAAATCAGTGGAGTTGAGATAGAGAGGTGACTGACATTCCAGGCCACTGTTAATGATAATGTGAGGTGTTGTGATCTGTTAATCACATGATTTGCATTTCCTGAAGCCAGATGAATCCGGAGTTTCGCGTCCATAACATCCTTCAGCATCTCCAGATGACACGAACTAATATTTTCCTCCAGACGGACAAGGGCATGACTCCGCACCAGTTCAGGAATCAGCTTGAGTCTCCCCTCTTTGGTATTCTGACAAGATAGTCTCTTTTCCAATCAGTAGGCACCTTTACTTCCTTCCAAATGTTCTGCAATATTCCCATGGGCACATCCACTGCTATCTCCAGATCTGTTTCCACTGCATCGGATGGGACTCTGTTTGGTTCTGCTACTCTCGCAACTGGATATCGGCAGCTTGATCACATTCAAGACTTCTGCCTTTGCCGGAGGATTGGTGTTCACTGACAGTTATGTGGGTGTTGGTGTTATTCCTGTATGAGTGACAAGTGACGGTCGGTTTAGGAGCCTTTTTAACTGATTACCCCCCACCGTTTCCTATGCTTCTTCTATATAGAAATTAAGTTCCCTTTACCACCTTTCATCTCTGTTGGTCTCTTCCACAGAAGGCAACTTGATTATTTGAAATAAAGATTTGAGGTTTCTACTACCTGCAGCTTGCTGTGCTTCAGTTGCCATTGTGTCGTAGAATTGCCTTTTGTCTTTCCAAGTACTATTCTTTATTTCTTCATTCAGTGTGTTGCAGCCTGAACTCACCTCTCCTTTCATTATATATCTTGGCATTGGTTCATCTTATGTTAAGCCATCCCTCTCTCCTCTGTTAGCTTCCACGAGTGATTTACCCGGACAGATACAGCTGGGATGGAGACAAAGAGGGGAGTTTCTCCAACACACACTTGTTGTCAAACTTCACTACTATGTCAAAACCTTATTGCATAATATGAAATCCAAGTGTTTATAAAGTAGATAAACTGAGGAGGAAATTTCGCCTCAATTTCTAATGCAAAGGGCACACTGTATAATCTACTCGATATGGTAAATAACTCTGCAGCAAGCACTGTAATGAATGTCTTGCAAGTATATGCAGGTGAGTGATATGATCAAGCGGAGTCATTCACATCAAGTTGGTTTCCAAAGTATATCACGATAAAAATCTCACATCGAACCGCATGTTTTATAAATACCTAATTTCATTCCATATACAGTCAATGTTACAGGATTTCACCATGAGCTGACATTAATTAGAGAATCATTGGAAAATCTGGGACTACTGAACACCTGTTTCGTCCCAGTTTGGGACTCTTCGTCAGTACGCACTCACCTGTGGGATTCGAACCCAGGACCTCCTGGTTACAAGACCAGCTAGCCCGTAGATCATTATGCCATTCGACCCGATCCAATGGCCCATGAATTCCAACTTCCGCCAATTCACGAAATAGCGCGACCCCTAGCCAATGTCTTCAGCGAGTATTTGTCCTTACACCTGACCCGCTGCACCCTACTAGTCACGTCGAGTGTGAGGACAAATACTCGCTGAAGACATTGGCTAGGGGTCGCGCCATATCGTGAATTGGCGGAAGTTAGAATTCATGGGCCATTGGATCGGGTCCAGTGGCTTATTGGTCTACGAGCTCGCTAGCATTGTAACCGGAAGGTCCTGAGTTCGAATCCCACAGGTGAGTGTGTACTGATGAAGCGTCCTAAACTAGGACGAAACAGCTGTCCAGTACTCCCAGCTGGTTTTCCAATGGTTCTCTAACTAATGTCAGATCATGATGAAGTCCTGTAACCAATCAAATCCCTACAAACCAACACTTGAACAGTTAATGTTAATAATTTATTTTTCTTCACTATTATTATTACTGTTATTCTTTTCTTTATTTCTTCTAGGATGTTCTGGCTTCTTTAAAAGAAGTATACACAAGAATCGAACATACACATGTAAAGCAAGTGGAAATTTAAAAGGTCAATGTACAATTGATCGTAATCGTCGTAATCATTGTCGGGCATGTCGATTGAATAAATGTTTTATGGCACAAATGAATGAAGAAAGTAGGTGCCTACATATTACTGTTATTATTATTATTATTTCCTCGCGTTTCGAGTAAAACATAAGGCTTCAGCAACATATCTCCACTTTGTTCTGTTTTCTGCCGTCCTCTTCAGCTGACTAGTTTTACGACTGACCAAACTCTCTCTCTCTCATGTCTTTCTCACATGATCTCCTCTGTGTAACCCTCAGACAAATGACTCACTCTTCGTTTTCCACTGGGATTCCACTCGAACAATGGCCTGTATTGCGCGCGATGTCATTCGACGGCCTCCTCGTTGTATGCCTGATCCATCTCCACTTTCTCTTACATATTTGTTGAGCTATCGGTTCTTGGTTTGTTCATTTCCATAGTTTCTTGTTGCTTATCTTCTTTTTGGCCAGCCATCTGATGTTCAGTATGGAGCCAGCCAGCGAAGGTGGCAGCTGTTAATGAAAGTCTGCAACCTGTTGGAAATCCTCTTTCGTGACATGCAGTGCAAGTTTCTCGCCCATATAGTAGCACTGACTAACTTCTCATTGGTGTTCAAAAGTGCCTACATACACCTTTTTCAATATATATAAATATATATATGTGCAGATTAATTACAAGACGTGACAATTTAACTTGTTGTAGTGATGATTTGAGTTATAGGTAATAGCAAAACCGTAGTATTTCTATCTGAACTCAGGAAACCAACCGATGTATCCTTCTATATAGCTTGAGGAACTTCAGCAAGTCACTCACAGTAAAACAAACTACCCTCTTACAATAGAAAAACACAACTGAGCTTGATAGAATCTGTGTTACTATTGAAACAGTTATATCAAATATACAAAATTACCTAGACAACGCCGTTTGGATGAGATACACAATCTCGAAGTTTTTTAGATACAAAACAAGTACTGAGAATCAATAAGAATACCAGCAGCAAGGTAGGATCGAAATTCTGTCTGCAAGAAGCAAACAGAACAAAACATGTTCCACACTGATAGCCCGAGGTGAAACAGTCACTACACTGGCGTAGCCTTGAATTCATTCAAACAAAATCGTGATCGTAATATAACAAATTAATATCAACATACCACCGACACACAACAATAAAGTGAAGTAATGTAAATAGGAATCAACCAGAAGCAAAGAATATTAATGATAAGGATTGAGTCGAAATGAGATGGGTAAATGTTCTAAGGATGATAAACAGGTCAGGGAAAAGGGCAATAATTACAAAACAATTTAATTGAATTTCAGATTTTCCCGTCGATTGATTGAACCGAACTGCTTGACCTCAGGTTGATATGTCGGTTTTTTGTTCAGATGCTCTATGATGTCTGGGCATGTAAATAGAATTTAGTTTGTGGATGGTGACTAACAATGGAATCCAGGATGCGCATTTCGTCTTCTTTGGGACACGTTGTCATCTGGATGTACCTGGATTCCACTGTTAGTCACCATACACCAATTATATTCTAATTACATGCCCAGACATCGTCGAGACACCTGCACAAGAAGCCGACATGTCAACCTGTGACTGAGCACTTCGGTCCAATCAATCGACGGGAAAATCTAAAATTCAATTAAATTAATATGACCCGTTGCACAAAAGGTGGCCAGCTCTCGTGGCGCAAGTGGTCTAGTGGATAACGCTTTGGCGTTTGAAACTATGGGCACTAGGTTCGAGCCTCGGTGGGAAAATCATAACTCACTGAGGAATGCAGGTACACTCAGATGACGAGCCCCAAACAGGACGGAATGCGCATCCTGGATTCCACTGCTAGTCACCATACACCAATTAAATTCTAATTACAAAACTAGCTGAATTATTCAAAATAGTATCAGTACTTTAAATAGATAGTTCATGCAGAAGTTTTGCGATCAGTTTTGCTGCTATTATTATTACTGTTATTATTATTATTATTGTTCCCCTGCATTCCGAGAGGAACACAAGGCTTCAACAAAACATCTCCACTTTGTCTTTTTTTATGCAACCCTCCTCAGATGGCTCCACGTCCTCCCATAATCTCTTATCTCCTCCATGTCACTCTCAGATGCCCAACTTGTTATTTCACACTTAGGTTCCACTTCAGGGTTAGTCCAGCCCGCGATGTTACTCAACAGTATCCTCAGCATGTGTCCAATCCATAACCATTTTCTCCTACATATTTGTTGAGTATTAGATTCTCGATTAATTCGTTAGCGTGGTTTTTTGTTTTTAAATCTTTTTGGCTAACCACCTGATCTTCAGTATCGAGACAACACAGGCAATTGTTGACGAAAATGTTCAATAGCCTACAATTGGTGGATGGTGGCTAGCAGTGGAATCCAGGATGCGCGTTTCGTCCTATTTGGGACTCGTCAACTGGATGTACCTGCATTTCCCAGTGAGTGATGATGTTCCCACTGAGGCTGGGACCCAGTGCCCATAGTTGGGAACATCATCACTCACTGAGAAATGCAGGTACATCCAGTTGACGAGTCCCAAATAGGACGAAATGCGCTTTATCCTGGATTCCACTGCTAGGCACCATCCACCAATTGTATACTAATTACACGCCCAGACATCGTCGAAGCATCTGCACAAGAATCCGACATGTGAACCTGAGGCCGAGCACTTCGGTCTAATCAATCGACGGGAAAATCAAAAATTCAATTCAATGTTCAATAGCCTGTTCGAAATACTTTTGGCGATGCATGCACCAAATTTCTAACTCATATAGAAGAACTGATCGACTCAACATTGGTGTTGATAATCCGAATTTTGTTTTTTTTTGTTTTTTGCTGAGTACAGAAGATTTCCATGCTGAGAGTCTGTCATAACTTTCCGATTCCGGCTAGTTTTCTCATCTCTATCCCTGTGTTATCCTCTCATGGACATATTTAACGAATATTTTTCCAGAAATGTCGTGCCAGCCGTTTGGAAGGACATTAAAATTGTACCTATACCTAAGTCATCTACTGGAACATGTTTTCATTTTTGACCTAGTGCCATTACCTCTCCTTTTCTAAAAACTATGGAAAATTTACCGTTACTCAATCCTAACCCTTCACTTAAAGCACTTAACGATCCCAAACAATTCGCCTACAAATACGGTAGAAGTGCTTTAGGAGCAGCTGCAGTCTTGCATTATAACATTGTCTCCAGTTTAGACAAGGGGGCTAAATTTGTTTGCTGCACCCTCCCAGAAGTGTAATACATCTGCTTCCCACTCAGTACCTAGCGACGTTTTGTTAAACAAGCTTGCTGAAACTCAAACTGACTGTTTGGTTGTCAAATGGTTGCATTCATATTTCTCAGGAAGAAAACAGTACACTGTATGTCAGTAAAAGTCGTCCACTTCATTGCTTACTAAGGCTGGTGTCTCTCAAGGCGCTGTCCTTTCTCCTTTTCTCTTATCTTTCTTCTCTCATGACTTGCCTCATTATGATAACGAAATGAACTTCGTTAAGTATTCGGACGATCTAACTATTTCAGAGTCTGTTAAATCCCAGCTTGACTGTCTGTGCTAAGATGAACAGCTTTCTTTCAGGAGTTAGCAAGTGGTCTTCGTCTAATGGCCTTAAAGTAAATACTTCCAAATGTCAGACTGTTGATTTCAGTTTCCGTTTCAAATGAAAATTAAATGAAACCGTTGGTTCCTATGACCTTTGAAAAATTGATGATACTGATATAGAAATCAAGTCTGAAGTTAAGTATCTTGGATCGATTCTTTCTTCTCATCTATCCTGGTCTTCTCATGTCTTAGCGATTTCTAAACGAATATTTAGTCTAACTTTTTACATTAATAAGTTAAGGCAATCAGGCATAACCCAACCAACCCCTCCTCTTACAGTTTGTCAACTCGCGTATTTTACCTATTCTTCTTTACTGTTCAACCTTATTTTTTGCTTGATTGCTTAAAAAAGACTATGTCATACCTTGTAGAACTGTGAAGACTGTCAGTCAGTAGGGTGAGGGGTTTCCCATTGGGCCATATGGTTGACATTGTCACTGATGATGGGCACTTGATGTCATGCAACAAATTTGCTAAAGGAATTTTGTCAGACTTTGAACACCCACTCTACCCGCAGCTTCAACCTTGTATCTCCCCAGGTAAAACAAGAAGTCTTTTCAGAAGAATTTATGCACGTACGTCTAAGTTAGAAAATTCCACTATACCATATTTGGTGGAACGTACTTGTTGTGATGAAAATAGTGTCAGTCATGAACTAACTAACTAACCTTCTTTGCACTACTAAATAAACCATTTCTTTCACCCTTACAGTACCAAACTTTATTGTTATTGTATTTCTTATATTCATAATCCTGTCAATTTTTTTGTTTTTGTTTATTTTTTTCATAAGTGTAAACATCATGTAAGCTGTGTTATGTAACTGTTAATTTTGTATTTCTCCTCACCATGCTACTATATCAACAGAACCTTAGATTCAATACTTCATAGTAACATGCTAAAATTTTCAAAGTGAAACAAATTCACTGTTATAATTATTATTATTATTATGATCAACATTTAATGATCTCAATTCGTGCTTAGAATATTTTTGACTTTATATCGTGAACGTGGACAAATTCCTCTGGTTACTTTTGTTTTAATTTTATTTATATTTTAAGTAAATCAGATGCAAGGTGTTGTGACAAATGCTGAGAATTCCATTCTGTATTATAAGTACTGTCTGTTTTGGAATAAAGTAAATTATTATCATTACTATTATTATTATTATTAGAACCGGTGCTTTCTGTATAAATGAAGGAAGCAATAAATTGGAATGGAAGCTGTCACACTGTGCGTCGGTGGCACAGTGGTTAGGATTCTCGCCGACCATGCACATGGTCCGGGGTTCGAGCCCACGCCGGCGCACACCTGATATCTATGGTCGGCCTGCAAAATTTGGGCTACCGATATCCATGCTGAAAATTCCATACTTGTACCAAAAATACAGTGTGGAATCAAGCTGTAAATCAAAAAAAAAAGCAATCTCTTTCAAATGTATCCCTTTGATGGTGATTGGTGTTTGCTATTGTTGGTTGCCATGCAACTTCATCACCTCCATCTCCTCTAAGTTCACTTTAATTCCTGTTCTGTCAGCTTCTCTTTTGCTCACTTGTTGATTTTCGCCTGTAAATCTCCGAAATTTTGTGGTATCAAACATAAATCTTGTTTAAAAATCCAGATCTTCTGAAGCTCTCTTATTGAATCTTTTTTTAACCCTTCCTGTTTTTTTTATATTACAATTTCTCACATGTTCTGGACAAATGAACAAAGATTCAATGATTAACCTCTCTATATCTCTCTAGGACTTACTTTTTAATACTTTTATCGATTCCACGCTTCTTTTGTGATTGCATTTCTAGTAAATGCATTACAATTAGTTTGAGTACTTTTATCAGATTAGGTAACTAAACAGGGCTGGTTTCTCTATACCTAGTTAAGTTCCTATATTTTGATCATCTTAATGATCCCGATCTACTATTATTATTATTAATCCCCTGAGTTCTGAGCAGGGGAGCATAGGACTTCAACAACACATCTCCACTTTGTCTCATTTTATGCAGTCCTCTTTAGCTAGTTCCTCCGACAACTGCTCATAATCTCTCCTCTCCTCCAACTAGCACAACCTCCTCCATGTTACCCTCGTACCAATGACTTACTTGTCGCTTCTCATTCGGATTTCACTCGAGGACATTTGACGTCCTCTTCAACATATACGCTTGACCTTCTAGTCTGATCTATATGTTATTTTGAGCAAACAATTCCATTAACGCTTGGTAGCAACAAACTTTATCTCTCAATGAGTTGCTTTATTCATATATGCCATCATGGTCGTAGTTTTATCAGGTATTCTGCGCATGTCATCTGATGTTTCAGGATTTCATCATGAGCTGACATTAGTTAGAGAACCATTGGAAAACCAGCTGGGAGTACTGGACAGCTGTTTCGTCAGTCCAGTTTGGGACTCTTCATCGGTACGCACCCACCGGGATTCGAACCCAGGACCTTCCGGTTACAAGGCTAGCGAGCTCGTATACCATTAAGCCACTGGGACCCTATCCAATGGTCCTTGAATTCTAACTTCTGCCAATTCACGACATAGCGCGAAACCAATCAAATCCCTACAAACCAACACTTGAACATCTGATGTTTCTTTCTTTATACGGTAGTACTATTCATTTTTATTCCTTCACGTCTCCAGTAGAACATGGGGCTTCAATCTAAAGGCACGAAGTTTCTATAGCAGTGTTTATTTTTATAGGATGGGGGTTGCTAGCCTCATGACCAACCTTTCCTCTTTACCAGCTATCTAACTGGGTCGGTGGCCGGGGAATCGAACCTCGGACCATATGTATGGTCGGCGAGCGTCTTAACCACTAGCCCACCAACGCACATGGTAGTACTATAGATTCCTTCAATTACTAATTATTCCGATTGTTTTTACTATTTTCATAGCAACTCTTATTTTCCTTCAATGATTTTAGTAAAATTTGAGTGAATCCTGATGGGTAGTGATTCATTAGTAATGCCCTGGTTATTCATTTGACTTCATTATTTAAATTGTCTGACCTATTGGCCAGACTCTTGACTTGATTGCACAAAAATCTGACTTTACTAATACTTGGTGGTGGAATGTTTCACAGCCTTCGTATCTATCAGAGTGTGACGGTTTCTTATTGACGTTAGTATCACAACTGCCATCTTGGTTTCGTCTTATTCTGCATTCTAGTGAAGCTAATTTGCCCAAATTCACTTTCACCTGAAAAGTGAACAAAAGTTTACTAACTACCATGTTTATGTATATGGAGAAATTAGATGTATGTTCGAATATTAGCATAGTGTGTAACGACAGAAGATGAAGACTTGATAAAAGAACATTTTTGGCACTTTCGTATCTCTATATATTAAATATTCCCATAGTAAAATTTAGAACAACACCTAAATTCAACAGCATCCACCCTTCGCTCACCTTAACTTGTGAAGAGGAGCAGGAGAATAAACTACATTTCCTGGAAGTCTTGCTAAGTAGGAGAGAAGATGGGTCACTTGGGAGAAGTGTGTACAGAAAAAGCACATTCACAGGGCAATGCACACACTTCCTTAGTTACTTGCCCTTTAAATATAAAAGGAATGTTGTAAAATCTCTTGTGAGCAGAGCAAGGAAGATATGTACGGATGACCTCTTACAAAATGAATTTGAACATATTCACGATTCCTTGATGGAGATAGGCTATCCGAGTAGTTTCATAAAGAAACATATAAAACCATCAGAGAAAAAACCTGAGACTCTGACTGTACATAAGAAACCTCTACTTATTAAGTTACAGTTTAATGGGGACTTATCAAGTGAGATTCTATTCCAAAGACTTTCACGGAATATACGTAGAACATTTTACGCAGCACGCCTATGTTTGTCATTCTCTAGCCGACGAATGATTGGGACGTAAACGAAGGATAAGCTTGATAGCTTTGCCACATCTATGTGTTTTTATCAGTTCAACTGCACCTGCGGTGACAGTTATATTGGGCGTACTACTAGACAGCACAGCCAACGTGTTAGTGAACATCTCTCATCGTGGTTTGGCAAAGGACAGACAAAAACAATCCGTAGCTCAATTCTGTCACATTTAATTGATAGTGGTCATATAGTCGAGAAAACGAGAGCCTTCAAAGTAATTTATCGTATCCCACCGAATTTTTCTAATAGACTTCGTATTCCTCTACTGCACACAGCTGAGGCGATAGGCATTCGAACTATTAAACCTAAACTATGCATTCAAAAGAAGTTCGTACAGCCATTATCCCTCCCTTGGCCTAATAAGACATAACCAACTAAAGACTTCTACACCACCCCTTATTTATATTTTCAACCCCTTTCTTGTCATCCCTTAATCTTATCTTCATTATAAACGTGTTTCATTTCCTTCCCTTACAATCTAGTTCCAAGTTGGTTATCTTCAATTTGTGACCAAAGAAGCGGGTCGGCTGATGACGAACTTTCACAGTAGCCTGTTTGAAATACTCTTCGTATTGTGCAACATCTCTAAACCATCAAGAAGACGGATTTTAGTGTTCAAATTTTAGATTTGCCACCTTATTCTGTCGCTGAGTTTTCAAGGATTATTTTAGCCGTATGAATAGCTTTGAAGTAGGACTTTATTGAGATAGGATAATCAGTTGAGAAAGATGTTAAATAATTACACTTGTTCTAACAGAGTCGCTTACACGTCTTTTAACCAGATAAGGCAGTGTTCCTGCACCTTTTTTTTGAATAAAAACATCACCCATTTTCCCCACTGAGCAATTTTTTATTTTATTTTTTGTATACACTTCTAGGTGTACAACACGAACGTGGACCACGAAAATCAACTAACGCAGCTAAGCGATATTCTTCAATAGAATCTACTGGTAAACGAAACGATGAATACCCATTAAATCTTTCTATTAGTCAGAGGAGAAATTCAAAAATTACCAACAACACTAACAACAACAACAACAGTCGAAAACCTCGAGGATGTTATGAAAGACACGAAAACGCTGACTATTATCATTATCATTCAAAAAACCTCCTGACTAATTTACCAGTCTATATGGATGATTCTGTTCAATGTTCAATTTCAGAACAGTTTAAACCTTTGAATCCATTGATGAACGCCATGAATTTGTCTGGACACTTTTCACAACAGTTTGCCTACAAACATTTAGAAAATATAATCGATAATCTTTACACTTCACTAAGAAATGAACAAAATTCAGTGACTACGTTGCAGTGTAAGTCGAATATGTCTACGGATCCAGATGATGACTTACAAGGTAAAGCTGAAGATCTTACAGTTGTTTCAAAGAAAAGGGATGAATTTTGTAAGCGTGATCATGACCCAGAATATGATAATCGCAATCAAATTATGAATCCCCCAGTAAATCAATGGAGTGCAGATTATCTAACGATATGCAATTCACATGAAGGTAAGCTAAAACAATAGATGATGTGATAGGAATTCAATTTTATCATGTAGTACTAATGTGGTGAGAGCTGGCTGTTAGTCAAAATTGGTGGAGAGTAATTTACGTCAGTGTTGATGTCCCCAATATTGGTCGTGAGAAAAATAAAAAGAAAGGCTTTGTGTAGGCGAATACATTTGACATATAGATGATCTGTTGCCTGGCTCTTGTCTTCTGCTGTTATACTAGTTATTAGAATCTAAAAGGTGAACGATACCCATCGGCGTATTAACGGAAAAGCAAAAACAAGGAGTTCAGTGAAGAGTCTGTCTTCGACGAACTCAATTTCTTTAGCAGTACAATCGTATTTATATAGTTTTTTCACGAAATAGGATGGTAACATAAGTGATGAGTTCTTATAATCGATGCGAAAGAGGAAATGAACAGGGATGCTACAGTGACCAAATGATAATCACATAGGGGGTTCAGCGGCAGATTGATAGTTTACAATGCATGTATTCAGGGTCCAATCCCTGACCGACGCACCCCTAAAACACTCTTAGCCGATAGTAAGGCCGATAAAAAAGGAAGGTTAGGCGTGAAGCTGACAACCCCACCACCTGTAAAATTAGACCATCGCTACCGAAACTTCATAGCTCTAGCTTGATGCCCTATGTTCCACTAAGAACGGAAAGGAATAAATTAATTAAAAAAATAACAAATAATAAATGACACTATAGGTATAAAACTTAGGCAGTGTGGTAGAGTATAACTCCATTAGGGATAAGATTTTATTTTGATAAATCACACAGTGTTACACAGTAATACTAACTGATGATCATGTTTCGAGCACAAAATATTGCTACTCATAATCATATCAAGTCATTCACTCACTCAACTGTTTTTCTTCATTTATATACATGAGTGGAATTGACTAGATATTTGAAAAAAAATCAGTACGTGATAATGTATATTCAGAAATAATAATACGAGGGTTATTGATTTGAATTGAAATAGAATCTTAAGATTATTTATTGTCCTCTTCTGATTTGACTTACTGGTGGTAATAATGTCTTCCATATTTCTGGTATTTACATTGAGTCATTTCTGTTGCATGTGTTGTGTTGGGTGTAGACTCAATGAACCGGGATTAGGGTGGCATTTAAACCTACAAACTCACTCACGGACAACCTCTGTGGGCTAAGAAACCCGGTGGACCCAATTAAACAAAATAATATAATTTACAAAATACCCTGAAATGACCGTAAGGTCAACTATGTAGGTCAAACCAGTAGATCGGGGGTAATCAGATTGGCGGAACATAAGAATTTGGCTAAGGTAAGAATGGTTGACCCCGAGAAGATAAGTAATTTAGAAAAAAGCTCAGCACTGCATTGCACTGCATGCATTAACACACAACCACACAATAATGTGAGTGAGAGAGGGTTAAGATTCTAAAAAGTAATCTATGTAGGTGGAGAGCATGAGAGATTGATCACTGAATCTTCGATCATAGAATCTACACCCAACACAACACATGCGACAGAAACGACTCAATGTAAATACCAGAAATATGGAAGACATTATAACAACCAGTCAGTCAAATCAGAAGAGGATAATAAATAATCTCAAAATTCTATTTCAATTCAAACACATCACAACATTCTAACAAGTTACTTATTACGACGATAAAAAACACTCCCATCTGATTGTAATTGATCAATAACCCTCGTATTACTATTTCTGAATGTACATTATCCTGCATTGATTTTTATTCCAATACCAAATCGATTCCACACATGTATATAAATGAAGGAAAAAAGCTGTGTCAGTAGTAGCTTGATATGATTATGAGTAGCAATAGTTTGTGCTCGAAACGTGGTCATCACTTAATATTACTGTATAACAGCACTATGTGATTGATTAAAATAAAGTCTTATCTATAGTGGAATAAATGACAATCACTTATTGAATGAGTCGTAATCAAGTTGCACATAAAAACAAGGGAACATATGGTATCACGTAAGAGTTCAAAAGAAATAGAAGAGTTGTGAAGTGTTGAAAAAACTCAAGTCAGCAGGAAAATGGACAGGTAGTTACCATCATAATAGAAGTGGTTGAGTAATTCTCTTTTGCATGCAGATTACCGATTTCTCTGACTGAATAACTAGAGCTTCCGTGATACATTGAGGGTGAAAGCACATTATTATCTTTAGTAGGCTGTTCTTCATTTTGTAGACCACTTTGAATGAGGAGCTTGTTGAAACAGAATGACCATTGTCAGCAAGGTATTCAATCATATATAAATGCAACTGTACAGTTGAAGAAAGTGAATTCACTGAGCCAATAGTCTTACTTTTCTTACTGGTAGGAATAACAAATAAATTATGATAATTAAGTATATAATTATATACTATTCAGTGAAACCCGCGACGAACTTATCCCCATCTTAATCCTTTATCGGACTGATTTCAATTAGAAAATCATTAGAGTTGTAGGCTCATGTTTCGCCGTTGTTCGCAACTAATTAGCAGTGTGCACTAAATACTTCACAAGCGATTGAACTAAGAGCCTTCATTTCATCATTCTGATTTCAGTGAAGAATTATTTTATTTTATTGTGTTGCTATGAAATTTTTGTAATGGTTGAAATGATTTTCCACGGTAAAGTTACCAGTCAAAAAGCCCAAACTTCCCTCATCTTCTAGCTATGGGGCTGGGTAGTAAACTAAGCGATATTAGTGAATGTTCTCATTATTAGACGAACCTGAGCCTTGTTAAAAATTAAATGTTGAAAGTGATAACTACCCCCATCTTACCAGACAGACTGGCAGAATCATGTGATGTCTGAGTCATCAATACATTGCAACTTCTGTAGACGTACTTTATGTGCTAAGCCTTGCCATATGTATGGTTCTTAGCATTTCGAACACTACAAATACTCAGTAATTGAACCTTTCCATAATACTTCTGTCTTTCTGTAATCTTTAACTGGTGAACGAAATTTTTGATTTCTTATTATGAAAGCATTCAAATCAGATCCCTTGTAAGCTTTGGAATATTAATACTAAAAATTAGACAATCATATGTTTGAGTGCGAAGCTAAATCACAAAGTTACATTGTGAAACTTGTATCTACAGCAGAAGAACAAAGTATCAGATCTTTTGATTGGTAACACGGACAAGTTTATTGAACTCTATTCTGTCTCAAGTTTCAAAGGACATTTGTTGTTCAGAATGCTAAGAGGGCCAAACACTCTCTCAGTATGTTTGTGTCCCTCTAACTGTTTGAAAAATACTACAGAATTTAAAGTGAGTATTATTCATCTAAAGTTTAGATGACAAGAGAATAGCCTTAATATGAGTACGTGTCATTCAGGTGAACGTAAATGGAGAGAAGACACTTCAGGAGGTGAGACACTATAGAAGGGGACAGGTTCTATATCTGTCCTGTTGATGAAAGCTAAAAAGCGTTAGAGTTTAAGTTGACTATAGCACAATATCAGTTGACTAAGAATATCAAACCAATTGAAGTTTTGTCAATCCAATTTCTAAGTGATTCAGTGTGTTGTGCTGCACCACTACTTTTCAGTTATGATGCTAATAAGAACCCCGCGAGTGGAGGGAAAGTGTGATGTGATCAATATATGTATCTAGCATATGAAAACAATAGTTTTATGTTAGAAAAACAAAGATAGTCCATGATAGAATATAGTACTCATAATTGCTATGAGTTATTGAATACCACTCATATCAATGAAGAGTGAGTAATGTTCAGATACGAAGTGATTAAAGCACTGAAAAGCCATTTCTTTCCGCATACTGATTGATATCAAAAAGGTCATTTATGGTATTCTGGACATATTTTAGCTTTCTACAGAACAGGAGTAGGACAAGACTGTCTATTATTACCGATGATATTTCTAATTTTGATAGACTGGATTGTATGCCGAACTCCCAGGAGAAAGAAGATAGGAATACGTTGAACTGACGAGAAAAAGCCAAGGAGATCCGAACCTCACAAATGATTTATGTCCAAGATCACACAACCTCGATGAATTACAGGCGAAAACCAACATGCTGGATGAAGATGCTGACAGTGAAGGCAGGATAAACGTGATGAAGATAACCAAGTAAATAACTCTGAAATAAGCACCAATGGCTACTAACGGGAGGAATTTGAAAGGAGATCAGTCGCTTCACCAACCTAGCTATGTAACATCGTTCCGACGACAGACAGTTGGCAAAGCTGAGGATGTCGAAGCAAGTCAGAATCGGAAAAGCAAACCGCAAACCTTGATTATTATTATTCTGAAAACACTTTGGAAATCTCATTCACTCTGAATCGAGAACAAGATTAGGGGATTTTCAACACAAATATGAAGTCAGTCAGTTCTTCTATATGGATCAGAAATTTGGCAAGCGCATCATGTAAAGTATTTCCAACAGATTACCGCACTCTTTTATCGATAGCTACCTTAGCTAGATACCCATGATAACATAGCCGGAATGAATTCACGGCAAGAAACGAACCACTCGAAAATCTAATGATCAACAAATATTCTGCAGAAAATGGAGCTCGAAGGATGGATGGAATATGCACCATTGGAGACCGTCTGATGAAACCGTGTACCAGGCCAGACTTAAAGTAAAATCCAAGTTGAAAATAAGTCAGGCTTGTATGTGAGTGTAACATGGAGGAGATGAGAGATTATGGGCAAATGTGGCCCCAAATAATAAGGGCTGCAGAGAATAACACTAAGTGGAAGCGAGTATTTGAAGCCCTGAATTCAAATAGGAACCAATTAATTATACAAGTAATATTTGGTGAATTCTCAACTCAGATTAGATTAATATTAGTGATATTATTATTTCCTTTAATTCCTAGAGGAATATAGGGCTTCAGCTAAAGGTCTCCATTCATTTCGGTTCGCTACCAAAGATTTCACATGGCAACACGTCTCCGAACATGATGGAATGGAAGTCACCCTCGCACTGACGACCAACTCGCCGCTTCCCTTTCAG